AGGAAGCTCTGGAAGCTGATGAGAGAAAGCACAGTGGATCTGAGAGACAGTTCAGTAAGAGCTGGGGAGCCCATTTAATCCATGCTCCCAGAGGAGAGTCACTTAACAAGGAATGGCAGCTCACTGGCTCTTTCCTAGAGTTTCCCAAAGGGCAGGCCATAGCGACAGTCCCTGTGTCTGCAGAGACAGCCAGTCACACGGGGAGGCAGAGCAGCGTGCATGCGAAGGTCGCCTGGTAAAGACGCCCTGCACCTGATGGTCCAGGGCCATGGTGCGGGGTCAGCCCAGTGCATCACTACAGCAGGCTTGGCCGCCTCCAAACACCTGCCACTCATCCCAGCAGAGAGCTGTCCACAGAGACCCTTGCGGAGATGGTCATCAGTGTCAAGTCCATCATCATCCTATTGCTACCGCCCACATTCCACAGCAAATACCTGTACTCGTGCAACCAGACCTATGCACAGCACTCAGAGGCACTGTCACACCCACCTTCTGTAATTCCAGGAGGCAAGTGTTAGTATTGTTCCCACTTTATAGATGAGCAAACTGAGGCTGAGAGAAGAGAAATGACTTGCTCAAGGTCACATAGCAAGTAAGTGACAAAGTCTAAACTGATGTGTCCCACATGGAAGGCAAAACCTCAGCTATCCCTTGTTATGGTAGCACTGAACAGTTTATGCAACTTTTAAGGTTCTTCCACACTCATCCTTTCTCTTGACTCCTGTATCAGGTTGGTAGGAAGACATTGCCCCCATTTTATGGCTGGGAAGGTTGAGGCACAGACAAGCTAGGTGAGTTATCCATGACACATGGCTAGTGAGAGGCAGAGGCAGCCCCGTGAGTCCCCTTCCTCCCCTTAGCCCAGCCATGTGTACAGGAGGAGCTGGGCAAAGGAGGCAGATAGAGAGAGTTCTGAGGCCCTGCCGAGCATAGGGATAAGATTTTGCCCAACAGGGGGCAGCAGGTGTCTAAGAAAGGAAGCCTTCCAGAGAGGTCTTGTCCGCTTTAGGCAGTGCTGGATCTGCTGCTGCCCTCAGACTCTGGGTATTATTCTCTGGAGGCCGGTGGGGGCAGCAGGCTCAGGCGATGTAGACCAGAGCCCTGTGCAAAGATGCTGCCCTCCTCCCAGCCAGGCCTAGGCCCCATGAGAAGCAGGGCAGCTTCAGGCTTTGATAGCTATGGTGGCATTTGTGTGACCCCCATTAAACTCCATGAAGCAAAGGGGAGTGTGCTTTGGAAGTCACCTCCAGGCTGGCTCTCACCTATCTTCCCCTTGTAAATTCCACAGACATCTAGGAGATAAAAGCAAGGATCTCTCTGAGGCAGCACACAGCACTCTTCAAAGAACACTTTCCATCAGGAATGGGGAGAAAAGCCTCTCTCCCGGGGAATATGTGCACAGTGTGACACTGCCGGGAACATCGTGGGTCATGTGCAGCACTCTTGTCACTGCCCTGGCCAGAACTCTGCTTCCCACATCCCCTACCTCCCCTCAGGCTCTGATGCTCCTAGTCCCTTGTGCTTTTCCAGCCCCAGGCTCCAGGTTCAGGCCTGAGCTTCCTCGGATGGTTTGCAGATTCCTGGACTTCATGGGTTTCTCTCCCTGAAACAAGACACCCGGGCCAGTTGCTGATTAGTCTGGTAACCAGTTTCCTCCTCCAGGCCCGTTCTCCTCATCTGTTTTGCTCCTCTAGTCAATTCAGCTGACTTCCGTCATCTTCTTGAGCAGAGGAGGAGGGCCAATCAAACAATGATGCTCGTGCAGCTGGGCAGAGCCAGTTGTGAGGTTTACAGCTAGGAAAGAGCTTAGAGGGTTCTGTAGTTGACCCCTGCAGCTGTATAGTTGGGGAGACTATTCCAGACAGAGGAATAACTTGCCCAAGGTCACAGTGATATTGGGGGCCCACAGCAGGTCTTCTGCTGTCCTAGTGTTTCTCTTTCCGCTGGAGGCCACAAGTGACCAGAGGAGCAGAGGCCTTGCATAAGCTGCTGTCCTGCCCACGCTCCCTGCAGCCTCCCGCACCAACCATTCCTGGCAGTTTTGCTGCCCCAACCCCCTCTCCTTTACGTTTGGTTTCATGGCACATTATCTCCTCATCTGAAGGCTGTTTTATAGCCCAATGTCTTTTTAACTAAGGTAAAAGAAAATGAACACACGTCTTTTTGGAATAATCTCATCCCATGTGGTGGTTGCTGGCACCCTGGGGTGCACTGAAGTCAAGGTAGATAATTACTCTTCTCTACCGAGTCAATTAAATATAAAAAACAACCATCACCAAGCCTCCCTGGTTTCTTGTAGCTTCCCGCTGCCCTTTCCATCTCCTTCCCTGCTTCACGACACACACACACACACACCGCCCCCGCCGCCCCCAGCAGCGTACACTGGGCAGGGAAAAAGGACAGAGGTATGAGCTGCTGGTCCTGGGGCAGCATATGGAAATGGAATGGATTTTCTGCCTGGCCAGTTTAGGGATGTTCTCTTTGTGACTAGACAGCAAAGCCCTGTCTGAGCCCAGGGCTCCTTTCTCCCTGAACATGTGATGATTCTACACGTATATAGGAAAGATTTCTGGTTGTGGGACGTAGTTCGTTTCCAGCTTTCTCTCCATATGGACATATGGAATTGTTTTGGCATAATGTCGTTGTTGGCCAACTTCTATAAACTTGTGAAATGATTTCCAAATTTTAATCCAAAGTTTGCCCTTTTTAGGGAGAAGCTGAGTGTGAGGAAAAGACACTTGAAGACAGTGTTGTTTACTTTGACTCTTTGATTTGTATTAAGGAGGAAAAGCCAGGGAAAGGGCTGGGTGCTGTGCTCCCCTCTTGCCCATTTTATCAGTTTCAGTTTTCATAACCTGTCCTTCAGTACCTTCACCTGAGTCCTTTTAACTCTTGTTTCTTTGTCCCTGGTTTTCAGGCAGGGCTGGGCCATACACTTGCCACAGACCTGTGTGCTAGACACTGGCTCTCGTCTGCCAGCCTTTCTAGGTGGCTTCTTTTGCTTTAAACTCCCCCATTAAACTCCATGAAGCAAAAGGGAGTATGCTTTTGCTGGTGCTTGCAGGATGGTGCTTGCAGGATGGTGCTTGCAGGATGAATTCAAGTCAGTGTCACTGTTATTGAGGGGCTAAGGTTCTAAAAGGCTCAAGCAGTCCTCTAAAGAGTCCCTCAAAATGAAGGTGCTAACAACCTTCTAATCAAACCCCACTCTCTAACCCAGGGGTTGATTCACTTGATAGCAGCAATCAACACTCTCTTAAAGAAATACACAATAAGTCAATCATCTTTTCCATTTTTTTTTTTCAATTGAAAATCTCTTGCATCTAGACTCTAGTTTCTTTTAAGGATGGCTTTATTTTAAAAGAGTCTTAAGTTTGTTAACTTGGTTGGGTCACGTGACTGCTTTGGGGAGGGGTGACTAGGGAATGCAGGATTGATATTGAAATGTAGAAGAAATGGCTTTGGCCACTGGATTATTCTTCCAGTGCCCAAATTCTAATCCCCTTGAGAGTAAATTGAGGGGCGGTGTGTCTTTCTCTTTTCTTTGCAGTGGTTTAGCAAGAATCATGTGTGCACATGTGTGTGCATATGTGTGTATATCCTCTTTCAGAACTGATGGGCTTGTTTGTAGATTGTTGGACACTCCACCTTTCTTCACTTCTTTGTCCATCTTTTGCATCAACTGCTCTGAGGTCCTTAGAAGAAAGACTTACAGAACCTGAAATGTAAATCTCAAATGTCAGTCTGAACTATAGTGCCTATGTCATAAACATGGTTCTTCAGTTTTTGTGTAATTTAGAATCACCTGTGCCACTTGCTACAAACACAGTACAAAAGTCCTCCGTCCTCCATCATAGCATCTGATCCAGGCCAGGGGTCTGTGATGAGCCTCAGGAATTCACATTTTCATTGGTCCTGCAGGCGATTCTGATGCAGGTGGTCCAGAGACTACATTTTGAGAATCGTGATCACATGGTTTATGGATGAGCTTAAAGAAGCAAAGTGACCAGTCTTGTTTGGCTGGTTAGTTAGAGCAGAGCATGGACTGGAGCTTAGCATTAGCTTTCCCACAGCCCTAGATGTCAGAGAGCAGAGCAGTAGGAGGTGGACTTGCTTTCCACAGGATGGGTTTAAATGGGACACAGAGAAGAATTTCCTGACAGAGAAGAGTAGTGAGGAAGCCATAGCATCTCCTTACCTGAGGACCCTAATTCAGGCCTGACTCTTATCACAAGTGGGCACTAAGAGTGTAATTCGGAGCAAGGGGAAAGGAAGGAAAGCTCTTCACAACAAATTCTGGTTATTTGGCACTAAAGATATATGAGATCCTTCATTTGGTTCTGTCTAGACACTTGAATTTCTACCTGGACGGCCCCATAAGTGGCCAGTGATCAAAGAACCTGCATCCCAGCCCCAGCTCTTACAAGGACAGGCTGTGTCACATTTGGCCACTTGCTCAATTTCTTGGTCTTCATTCCCTCTCTTGAAATGAGTGGGGTTGCATCAGATTGTGTCTGATTCCTGTGGTTCCAGCATTTTTACTTTTCATTATAATCTCTACCACCACCACACTGAAGGGGCTTACTTCTACAAGCACTCATTAAAGTTGTGTTGACTGAACAAATGAATAAGTTGAACCAAAAGTACTTAACACGGAGAACTCTGCAGCCTAGTTCCCAATTCTCACCTTCTGGGTCCCTCCTCTTGGACATTTTGAGACTGTGTATGAACACTCCGGTTGTGACCCCTCTTGGTTTTAAATCAGCCATGTATTTAAAGATACCTCGCTACAAATGAACATCAGTCATAGCTTTGACATCTTGTCCTTTTAAGAGTTATGTTTCAGATCTAGGCTATGCTCTGTCTCCCTAGAGTCATTCCCTGAGCAGAGAAGCCAGACTGAAGTAACCTTTCCTCATCAGGAATAGCCTCTGGTGACAAGTCCCTGTGTGCCACCTCATATGGCTGCTCCACTGATGGGTTCTCTCTGTTCCTTCCAGAAAGCAGATCTGGCTGTGGCAGGCCTCACTATTACAGCAGAGCGCGAGAAGGTGATTGATTTCTCTAAGCCATTCATGACGCTGGGAATTAGCATTCTTTACCGAGTTCATATGGTAAGAGACTTATTTTATAAGCGTTTATGTCATTAAAGTTATTTGCATGCAAACACTGAGTTATATGGTAATAATGAATGACTCACAGAAATATTTAGATTTCAAGACTTAAATGCAAATGTGCTGGGCTATTTTTTCCCCCATCAGCTGCAGGATCTTGCAAGCAGGAGGGATGGAAAAGCCACACTGAGCTTTCCAGTAAAATTTCCTTCTGCCTCATAGACTAGGAATGTCCGTGAGAGATGGTGATGTCTCATGCATTGTGATGGACCCTGTCATCCTCTGCTTCTTCCTGGGGCCTGAAGTCACCCCAGCCTTGTCAAAGGTTCCTTCAACCTTTAGGTTCACTGTGTTCCCTCCATGCATTGCATCTGGTGAGGTAAATATAGACTCCTTTCTCTTGATTTCTTGTACTGATGAATATAGAGCAGACCATATGAATGACACCTGTATCTGGCCTTTTACATCCCCACTAAAAAGAATAAAAAAGATTTCTCCTGCTAGGTTGGCCTGAATGAGTATCAGAATGAGAACACACCAATAGAAGCCAACAACAGGCCTGACCCACAAATGTCCTGGCTGGTGGGGTGAGCAGGAGATGAATGACCCTGGCTGGGTCTTATCTATCAACTGGATAATTATTCTATTGCCACCAAATAGCTGACTTCACCTCATTTACTGTACTAAAGCAGAAGAGCCTTCCCCTCATCTTTCCGTCCAAACTGGATCTAAGTACACAGCTGTCATATGGAGTTCCACAGCCCTCTCGTTACTCCAGGTCCGAAGTTCAGCTGCCATGCCTACACCCAAACATAACCTGGCACCAGGAGGCTGCCCAATGCCAAAGGTCACCCCACATTCTCCTGAAGAAGTGACTCCCTCCCACCAGGTCCCACACCCTTAGAGAAAGGGGAGTCATCTGCCTTTGCAGCCCCAGCCTGGCCCCCATTGTTGGCAGCTATTTGGGCATAAGGAACTGTGCCCTGGTTGGGGGTTTCCTTGGTGCAAAGCCAGTGCAGCAGGCTTTGCTGCTCAGATGAGCACTGTCTTGTGCTGGCTCTCAGTGTCTTTTGTGGTCACTGCCCAGCTGGTAAAAGATGGCCAGTTATCTGGAAGAAGAGGCACATCAGAGTAACCAAGCTCCCCAAGCTAAGACAGAAAGAAATATAAAGATTTGGTCATTATAGTCTGTGCTATCGTCGATGTGTCTGGTTTATAGAGAAAGGAGGATTTTGATTCTTCCCAACCAGTGCCCTCCTCTTGTTTACTATGACACCGGTACCCACACATGAGCCCTTCCTGTGTCCCAGAACTCTACAAGGTCGCTGTGATATGGATTGTGATTATGGGTTGCATTGTGTCACCCTCCAAATACATATTGGTGACTTTATTTGGAAATAGTCTTTGCAAATGTAACCAAATTGAGATGAAGTTGTAGGGGATATGAGTGGGTTCCAGCCCAACTGCTGGTGTCCTTTTAAAATAAGAGAAATGCAGACAGAGACGCATAGGGGAAAAGGCCATGTGATTTCAAAGGCAGACACTGAGTGATACATCTCCAAGCTGAGGTGCACCAAAGCTTGCTAGCAACCCCTTGAAGCTGGAGGAGACAAGAAGAACCCCCCCCCCCCGGGAGCATGCAGAGTCAGCTTGTCTCTGCCAACACCTTGGCTTTGCCCTTCCAGTCTCCAGAACTGAGAGATGAAAAGTTTCTGTTATTTTAACTCACCCAGATGTGGACCTTTGCTATGGAAGTTTCGGGAAACTAACACAGTTATGTTACATGTTGCTCGCTCTTTTAGAAATGAAAAGTCTGAGGTACGGTTTCTAGGAGAAAGCCACATGCTGATAAGTTGAAGAGCAGGGTTTAAACCTATGCTTTCTCTGTGGTCCCAGCCCACCACTCTCACGTGTGTGATCGTTGAGTAACTCGTCTCACACGTCCCTTTGCATACCCTTTCTCGTTGCATCCTCAGGACTGTTTCCTGAGGAAACTAGGTCAAAGTTATAATTTCCAGTTTACAGATAAGGAAGCCTTTCCACTTGAAGACAGTGTCCTCATCACCATTACATCTGTCAGTGCTTCCTAGGCAGTCTCCAGCCAGCAGCATCTCTGAGGTTCCTCTCACCCAGCTCGCTCTAGTGGAGGAGTATCCAAAAGAAACAGACACATAGCCTTTTTCCAGACCACCCTGCTATGGGTACAACTAGGCTCAGGCCTTGATTTCCTTATTCATGTTGAGGGAGCTAGAGTCCTTCTGGTGACCTGATGGCCAATCAAGAACATGTGGCTGAAGGTACCCCCAAGTGTTCATCACTCAGTGACATCTGCTTCTGGCAGCTTGGCCAGGTTATGTTGCCTAGATATTTGGTCACCCACTATTCTGGATGTTACTCTGAAGACATTTTGTACATGTGGTTAGCATCAACAATGAATTGACCTTAAGGAGAGGAGAATCCTCCCAAGAATGTGGGTGGGCCTCTTCCAATCAGTTGAAGACCTTAACAGGCAAAAACAGCTTTCTTGAAGAAGGAATTCTGTCCTATAACATAGAAATCCTGTCTGAGTTTTCCAGCCTGCTTACTTTTTTAAGTTGTCAGCTCCCACAACCATATGAACCAATTCCTTAAAATCTACCTCTCTCTAGATAAGTATGATATAGTAAGATATGATATGATATATGATATGACAAGTATAGATATATCTCCAATTGTTTCTCTTTCTCAAGAGCACCTTACCTGACTGATAAAGTTCCCCGTTATGGTCAGGGACCCTCCCTTCCCCCGCCTTCCCCTTGGAGGCCCCAGTGTGCCACATGGCTGCTCAGATGTGATTTATAATGGGGCCAAACAAAGTGAAAAATGAGTGCTGGCATGAACAGCTTACAGTGAGCAGCACTGACACTTTCAGCATTTATTCAACAAATATTTATCCAGCACATTCTGTGTGTGAGGCACCATGCTTAGAAAGTACCAGAAAGTCAGCATGGGAGAGAACAATCCGGAACTGATGAAAGCAGAAGAAACCTGGTAAAGGAGTCTGACATGAACTTTGCTGCATCTGATACACCGAGGCCTTAGTGGGGATAGCTAATGCTAAGATATAGGCAAGGAGAGTCTTGCAGGAGAGTCTAAATCTGAAACTACTTTGGGAAGCTGTCTTTATATAATAGGACTATGGTAATGCAATTAAGGTTAAAATTGGATGTTTATTATTTTGTAAATTTTCTCTAACAGATGATTCTCATTGAGCAAAAATATGATTCACTTAATATCATTTATAGTCCATGAAGACATAGAATCTCTTGATTCTATATGAGATCACCTGACTGATGAATAATCGTTAGCAAAAAGTGAGCATCTGGTGCTAATCAAATCTGTGTGCAAAAGTGGAAATAATTAACTCAAAGTGTAAATGCCTTGTTAAGCATTATTTTATTTATTTGTAACTGATACACAGAAACGTAGACATTGTACATATTAATGAGGTCCCACATAATGTCCTGCCACACGTATACATTGCATAATGTAATCCCTACTGAAGAATTATTGCCAAAGCCTCTACAATAGTAAATGATAGTAAGTGTGTCTCTGAGGACTATAGATAACTAGAAATAATTTTTGAATTTCCAACAATCTAAGATTATTCGAGCTTTTTTCATGAACATGGATCATCAGAGTTGATTATGGGATTTTTTCATTCTTTCAGATGTCAGGGTATAATCTCTGTTTCTGCTCAGGCATTTGTAGGACCAAAATAAGAATGTTTTTACCCTTTCTCCGCCTACACCCTGCTACTTGACAAGGTAGCTAAGAAATTTGGCTTTGGTATATATTACAACTGATCCATCGTGCTTTGTAGAGCTTTCTCCATTCCTAGCATCCAAGGACCATTTTCTCATGGTATTTCTCATACCTCTTCATCATTTTAGTTGGCAACTCTCTCTCTTCCTCTCTCCTCTCTTTCTCCCTAGATCATCATCTCACCGTCTCCCAATCTGTGAATCTAACCCTGGCCTCACCCTTGAATTCCAGTAGCGTGTTTGTGTTTCTTACACATTACTACCCCTGTCCACCAGAATGTCTCACAGGCATCCCCAAAATACTGTCTCAAGCTGCATCCAGCGTATTTTTTACTCAGACCCAGTCCTCCTCCTCCTTGCTGGCCCACCTCAGCTAATAGCATCTCCTTCCTATAACCCGAGCCTCCCTGAACTTCTCTTACCTCTCATCTCAGCTCCTGCGTAGTTCTCAGACGTGCTGTGCATCTTCATTTCTTCCACCTTGGTGCAGCTTCTTGTCTCTAAGCCAAACTGCTGTCATTCCAGCAGCAGTATTCTCCTTGAGGGCAAACTGTCTCTTGTCTTTTACTGTCCCCATCAAAGAGCTGCAGTCCCCATGAGCGTTCACTAAGAAGCAGTAGAGTGAAGATGATGGAGTGGAGCCAGACTGCCTGTATTTATTCCCAGAGTTGATCATTATTAGCTGAGTGTCACACGTGTCTCAGTTTCTTCATCTGTAAAAATGAGTTGTCATGTAAATGAAATGAGACTGCACATGTGATGTACTTATAACAATGCCTGGCAAATGCACAATGAAGTGTTAAACTGTTACATTTAATAAATGTGTGGGAATTGCTACTCATTACAGTTCAGCCTCCATCCACAGCCTGAGGGTGGCTTGCTTGCTTGTTTTAATCATATCAGCCTGTGACTTCCAGTCATTCACTAGTTATTCATCAATTATAAGAAAATGTTCAACCTCTTACATGGAGATAAAGCCCATACCTTCTATCCCATTTCTGCTTCTCTGGCTGCAGGCCCTTGGCCCTGTGCTGCTTCCACTCTCCCATCACTGCAGCTCATCTTGCCTCTTCATCCAGGTGAAGCTCGTCTTCTCACCTCTTACCCATCAAACAAATTCTTAGCTGGCCTTTGATACCCAGCTCAAATGGCACTTGCTCTTCTCCATGACTCCCCTTGATAGAGCTGATTGCCCCT